ATCATGTAAATCTCCACATTCTTTTTATTATACAACTGTTAGCACGCTGGGACCTCGCCTGGTTCTGGTGTTTAAGGGCTACCGCAATTACTGGAGTTACATCTGCTATTCATGTTAATTATTACTACTACTACTACTACTACTACTAATTTTGGTTTATACAAACATCTGCTTCTTTCTGGCTTCAGCTTCTACTTGAAGTCAGAAGACTGAATTTATGGTAGCAAAATCATTTCCCTATCTCTACCCTAATCTGACAATGGGAGGATTACCCTTAGGGAAGTGCCATACTGCCAACCTTATGGCTGTGTCTACACTGGCGCGATCTTGTGCCAAAGCAGCCGCTCTTGCGCAAAAACTTGCTGCCTGTCTACACTGGCCGTGTGTTCTTGCGCAAGTAAACTAACGTTCTACTGTATGAAATCAGGGCTTCTTGAGCAAGAACTATGATGCTCCCGCTCAGGAATAAGCCCTTTTGCGCAACTGTTCTTGTGCAAGAGGCCAGTGTAGACAGGCAACATGAATTTATTGCGCAAGAAAGCCCTATGGTTAAAATGGCCATCAGAGCTTTCTTGCGCAAGGGAGTGTCTATACTGGCATGGATGCTCTTGCGCAAAAGCACATGCCAGTGTAAATGTTCTCTTGCACAACTACTTTAACGCAAGAACTCTTGCGCTAAAGAGTTTTTGCACAAGATCACGCCAGTGTAGACGTAGCCTAAGTTTGCAAAAATAATGATTCAGCTGCTTCCCTGATAATGTGATTTTAAAATCCCACAATTTTTAAGGCAAATCAAAAGAACTCAGGATTATTTATCCTCTCTTTTCTGAGCCTTCAAGGTGCATTTGGATTACATGAGGGGTTTTTTCTGCAATAGTGAATGCTACAAAACTACTCCCCCACCCACACTTACAAATCAAAGCTAGGCGTCTCCAATAATCACACTCCTCCCGAAGCTAAGGCATTGACAAATATTGCAAGACTTGCTACCAAATAGCAAGAGTTAGAAGCACCTGAAGTGTGGAGTGAAAAATCCCTGAGCTCCCACTCCATCAGATACACAGAGCTGCAGTAACCTACCACGAGAAAACAAAAGATAAGATTTAATTTCTAGCGGCTTTAAAAAGTAAATTGCCTCCACTGCTTAATAAAGCAATGGGAATTCTTGCGGACATACTCGGAGTATTTACCCTTATGGTGTTTCCTTTTTAAATGCATGTTAAAAACACCTTCCCCCTGGCTACACAGATCAGCCCCTTCCAAGACACAGATTGCAATTTCCATGTGGGAGCCTTTGATCCCAAAGCTCCAATCACCCTGCAATTTACAACAGGTTCGGCGAGCAAAGCCTTATGGAACGCTCAGAAGCACAGAGCCAACGGGATCCCGACTTCACGCCCTCATTTGCATACTTCCAATCAGAGACCAGAATAAGCTTCGACCATCCACCAATCGCACTGGACATCAGAACTTGCCAATGGGAAGGGAGCCGCGGCGGCCGCCTATAGTACAGGCTGGCTGATAGGAGGCTGGCTGGCTACTCTGTAGAGTCTCTGCAAACAGAGGCACGTTGCGAGTCGCCCCGAGCCGCTGCAGCTCCGGACCTGCCCAGGTGAGTGGCTGCTGCAGGGCGGGTGGCCGGGGGCGACAGCCGCGTGCGCTTAGGGGGGACGCGCGGAGGGCTGGGCTGAGACCCCCTCCTGCTCCTGGGGGAGCACTTTGCTGGGAAGGCAGATGCAGCCCAGCAGCGCGGAGGGAGGGGAGCAAAGTGCAGCCCAGCAGCTGGGCTGGGGAAACTTGGCTGCCCGGCGGAGGATGCCTGACCCCCTTCCCGCTGCCTGGAGCCGGGGGCCGCGTGCGCTTAGGGGGGACGCGCGGAGGGCTGGGCTGAGACCCCCTCCTGCTCCTGGGGGAGCACTTTGCTGGGAAGGCAGATGCAGCCCAGCAGCGCGGAGGGAGGGGAGCAAAGTGCAGCCCAGCAGCTGGGCTGGGGAAACTTGGCTGCCCGGCGGAGGATGCCTGACCCCCTTCCCGCTGCCTGGAGCCGGGGCCGAT